GCTGGTACACAATAAGTTAGGTATTACTAATACTGGGGGGATGGGTTCTTATTTGGGGATTCCAGAGAGTGTGGGAGGGGCTAAAACAAAGGTTTTTAACTTTCTTCTAGAAAGACAAAGAAAGCGGGTAAATGGATGGACATCTAAGCTGCTATCTAGAGGAGGGAAAGAAGTACTCATTAAGTCAGTACTCACAGCAGTTCCGACATATACTATGTCTTGCTTCAGACTACCCCAGACTATTATCACTCAGCTTACAAGTACCATAGCCAAGTTTTGGTGGAGCTCAAACGGACAAACAAGAGGAATGCACTGGATGGCCTGGAATAAGTTATGTAAATCAAAGCATGAAGGAGGACTTGGATTTCGGGTGGTTAAGGACTTTAACACAGCACTATTGGCGAAACAGCTATGGAGACTCATAGACTACCCAGGATCGTTATTTGCAAGAGTGTTTAAAGGGAGATATTTTAGGGATGGCACACCTCTGGACCCGATAAGATCATATGCCTCGTCGTATGGATGGAAAAGTATCATAACAGCTAGATCTTTGGTACAAAAAGGGCTTATCAAAAGAGTTGGATCAGGACATTCTATCTCGGTATGGAATGATCCATGGATTCCAACATCACGCCCGAGATCAGCAATTTGCAAAGGGTTTAACATATACCCGGAGCTAACAGTCAATCAGCTGATTGATCCTGTAACCTCAACGTGGAATATTCCACTACTTGAACAATTGATAGTACCAGAAGATATTCCCCTGATCACTGGAATGGCAACGACACGGGAACAACGAAAAGACAGATGGGGCTGGAATTTTACAAAGACAGGAAGGTACACTGTCAAATCGGGATACTTGACAGAACAATTGTGTCCTGATAAGGAACTTTCAAGAGTTTATGGACCAGATATCAGCCAATTACAGGCCAAGGTTTGGACAATTAAGTGCCCACCAAAACTAAAACACTTTATGTGGCAAGCACTTTCTGACTGTTTGGCGGTGACAGCACGACTACGTGCTAGAGGTATAAATTGCGACCCCCGATGTAGTCGCTGTGGGGCGGGAAAGGAAACTATAAACCATACTCTATTCGAATGTCCCCCGAGTTTTCAGGTGTGGGCGCTTTCGCCAATACCTACACCATTACATCTTTTCCCAATGGAAGCATTGTATTCAAATATGGCACACTTGTTTTGGAATTTGCTAGATCAGGAGGATATGATGATGTACCCTTGGCTATTGTGGTATATTTGGAAAATGAGGAATGACAAGATTTTTAAAAACATTGATCGGGACCCCCGAGATGTTGTCAGGATGGCAATAGCAGAAGCAAATGCCTGGGCCGAGGCGCAAAAACAAGATATAACGGGTGAAGTCTCACTTCCACTTCAAAACGAGAGTTACTCCAGGGAGGGTATCCTCTGTTACACTGACGGGTCATGGAAAGAGGATGCCCCAAACACAGGGTTAGGCTGGTTTAGCAAAGATGTAAATCTGTCGTCTACATTAATGGGGGCTCGAAAATTGGGTAAGAGTTTGTCACCTCTACATACAGAGCTAGAGGCACTTATTTGGGCAATGCATTGTATGCTCGATGTTGGACGATACTCAGTGTCCTTTTTCACGGATAGTTTGGAATTACTGATGATGGTGACAGACCCAGAAGGATGGCCAGCATTCTCACTACATCTAGAGGAATATGAAGTGACTAGACAGGAGTTTGCTCGTTTCTCCATCTCGAAGATCCCACGCGCACAGAATACGAATGCGGACAAGTTAGCACAAAATGCTAGAGATCACCCTTTCCATCTTTATTATGTAAACTCAACACCTCCTACATGGTTATCACCATTTTAGGATAATTGTTGAGGCTGTTGACAAAAAAAAAAATCATATACTCTTTAATGGAGTTGTTACATAGGTTATTCAATGTAATTTTGCAAAAAATCCTTTGTAAGAGTATTTACAATCTATCTTTATATTTTTCATCATAAATTTTCTATTTGAAAAACAATATTCTCTCTCTACATATATATATATATATATATTTATTTATTTATTTTTTGTTTTATCATTAATTGCTAGTTATGAATACTTTATTCAAAATTACAAATTGATTAATAATTTTTGTTCCAGAACTTACATAAATTATGATATTAATTAAAGTTAAAATATTATAATATAAATAAAACATATTATTATGGTTTAGTAGTATTAACTTATTAAGTCAAGAAATGTTACTTAACTAAATTTATTTTATGGTATTTTTTATTTCAGTATTTTTAAGTTTATATGGTTTATGTCATTATATTTTTTAATTAGATATAGATTATTTATTTTTTAATTTTATAGATTAGAATGTTTTAATATTTAGAGTCATTAATAAAACAAAATATATTAACCAAATAGTCTTATTATATAAATTTAGATGCGTCAAAGTTAGTAATTCATATGATTGTGATATGTGACGAGTCTTTCGTTCAGATTTTGACACACATCTTGATTATTGTTTTTATTTTTTTAAAAATGATATATTTTAATTTGGTAAAGAAAAATAAATGTAGACATTAATCTAAAAATTAAAGAAAAATATTATAAATTAATAAAGTCTTTAGTTCAGATTTTGACACATATAGTAGAAACTCTATAAATTAATTTTTGATAAATTAATAAACTCGATAAATCAATAATTTTACTCGGTTCTGAGTTGGACTGTTTCAAAATTTAATACAAATAGATAAATTAATAAGATAATAATTTTTTTTTGAAAATATATATAAAATATAGTCCCATTAGTAACATAAATTAAAAAATATCATATAAAATTATTTTATATAAATATATAATTATGATAATCTATTAAAATATGAGTATATTATTGTTTTTCATATTAAAACTGAAATAGTTTTATCATTTATCTCTAATTTTATAATGTTTTGAAAATATTATAAATTTTAAAGAAAAAATATTTTTAATTAATTGTTAATAAACAATTTATTTTATCCAAACTCAATAAATTAATAGCTTTATAAATTAATAAAATATCAAAGTTCCAACATTATTCATTTATAGAGTTTCTATTGTATGTCGATTATTTTTTTTATAAAAAATTAGATCTAATTAAAATGATATATTTCAGTTTAAAAAAATAATATAATTTAAAACACTAATCCTAAAAAAATATCCTAAATTTTGCTTCGTTTATTGTATTATTTTTATAAAAACACTTTATACATTCTTCTAAATATGTATCTTTATGATTCATTTGGTCTTTCATATTTTTATCCATAATGATTTGTTTGCTGAATATTGTATTTATATAAACTGTTTACAATATTCAATAATTAGATAATTTAAAAAATACATGCAAAATTTGCAACGTATAATTACAAGAAAAACAAAAGAAATCATAAATGCTAATGATATGGTATTTGAAAATGATGGGCTCAATGAGGAGGAAGATCAGCGAAAATCATGTAGAAAAATCTGACGTAAGTTTTGAGAAGCATAAGAGCATCAGCATTGAAGATATGCTGAAGAGTCTCTATAAAAAAACTGTTTTTTATATAAAAAAAAGAAAAAAAAGAAAAATTGGCAAATTATATTTTACCACATTACATGAGAGGCGGTCTTTCCATCCTTGTGCAGAGAAGCGATTCTATCGCTTAGTTTCAGCCACATCATTTTTTTTTTCTTTTTTTCTTTAGAGCCCTATCCAATCTCTCTATTGTAGATGCTCTAACTTTTTTGAAAAGCAGATAGATCATATACGAGGAATGAATGTGAAGAGAAAAAGCAATTTTTTTTTCTTAGAGAGCAATGAGGAGAGTTAACATATTTGAACGATTTGAATTGCATACCAAATTTTTTAATGAAGTAAAAAAATAAAAATAATTGATAAAATGTTGTACTACTAACAAAATAGGGTTAATGTTACTAAAGACTCGCAACAGATTTTATATTTTGAATATTTTAAGTGATAACAAATGAGAAATAAAATAAATAACTCTTACACTTAAAATTTATGTTTATATATATATATATATATATATATATATATATATTATACGAGTGATCCAAATTTATTTAACTGTTTTAAAATATTTTGATAAATTTAAAATTTTATTATTATAATTTGCATATACGCGAGTTTTAATCTAGTTAGTTATAATTTTTAATGAAAAAATAGTAATAGTAAAAATTTGAAAATTTATTTTATATTAAAATATTTACTACAAAATATAATAAAAAATAAAATAGTTTCAGATTTGGAAAAAAAAATAATCTTATTCTATTTTAGAACAAAAAATAAGATAAGATTGAAGCAGATTTTATTCAAAAATATATATTTTATTACCAAGTTTAGAATAAGGTTGAAAATACTAGTCTGCATATATGCAGGTTTTAGTCTAGTTATTTATAACTTTTAATGTAATAAAAATTTGAAATTTTATTTTATATGAAAAGTTTAATTACAAAATATAATTGAAAATAAATTGTTTCAGATTTGGAAAAAAAATAATTTTATTCTGTCTTAGAACAAAAAATGAGATAAGAATGAAGTAGATTTTATTCAAAAATACTAAGTTTAGGATAAGATTGAAAATATTTTAAGAAATAACAGATTTTTTATTAATAATTCTTTAATATATTCCTTCCTTATGTTTGCAACTAAAAGAAAAAAAAATCTTTGTTGACACTTTACACTGAAAGCGAGGCAGTTTTTTAGAAAATTTTGGCAGTCCTATTTTATATTTGGGTAATTTTTTATTAGATTTGGACGAAAATATAGCAATATATGGTAAGAGGGATAGTCAAAAATAAAAGAGTAGAGAAGGTAAATAATACTCTTTAATTTTGACTATCCTTCTTACCATATATTGTTACATTTTGATAAGACACGTCATCGATCCTTGTCAAAAACATCAAATTGAAAGAATCAACGGTTAGATTTAAAAGTAACAGCAATATCTAAGCCTTTCGTCATTTTGCATCTCTCACCTTGTGCAACCTATTTATATATTTCTTCCCCAATTTTTATTATTTATTATTTACAAAGCAAAACAATAATCAAAAAGAGGGAGAAAAAAAAAAGAAAAAAAAAAACTAAATCTCAACTTCCTTCCGTCTTCTTTTTTTCACTACCTCTCTCCATGGATCCAGTCTCCGATGATCCTAACAAACTTTCCGACTGCTTTCCTTTGAGTCAATACCATGCTCACGTCGTCAGCAATAACATACGAAATCGCGCTCTTGCGGCTGGAGGAGCTCCTCTTCCTCCAGATGCTTCCAGCAACTGCCCTCCTTACCCCCAAGTAAGCCCCTCATCTACAATTCTTTTCTTTAACTTTAATTCGCTTTGTTTTTGTTTTTTTTTTTATTTTGTATTGTTACTAACGTTTTTTCCGCGTGTAGATGATTCGCGCGGCGATTGCGGATTTGAATGAACCGGATGGTTCGAGCAAGATTGCAATTTCGAGGCACATCGAGCGATCCCTGTACACTTTACCTGCTAATCACGGATCTGTGTTGAGTCACCATCTCAAGGTCATGAAGAAGAGTGGTGCTCTCGTTATGGTGAGGAAATCCTACAAGCTGGCTTCTGGAGGTCCCGATGCTCCCAGATCTGTGATTACTCCGGTGCAGGCCTCTGCTTCCCAGCCTCAGAAGCGAGGTCGTGGACGACCTCCAAAACCTAAACCCCAAGCTCAACCACAACCCATCACCGTCCAGTCTAATGGACAGTCTGTGACCAGGCCGACCGGGGAGGTCACGGAATCGGGGAAGAGACGACCTGGTCGTCCAAGGAAGGACGGATCTGCTCCGATCGTTCAAGCTGCGGCGATGGCCGGAATCATGAAACGAAGAGGCAGGCCACCGGGTCGCAGAGCTGCTGGGAGGCAGAGGAAGCCCAAATCTGTGTCGGCTACTGCCTCTGTGTTTCCTTCCTACGACGCTAACGGTGCGAGACGCGCAGGAAGGCCGAGGAGTGCTGAATCTAGCGGCACCGTAGCTGCCGCTCCAGCTGGTGGAGAAGCTGTGGCGGTTGCGCCAGGGATGAAGCGTGGACGTGGACGACCACCTAAGATCGGCGGCGTTATGAACAGGATCATTGCGAAGCCGAGTCGTGGACGAGGCCGTCCCGCTGGCAGACCCAGAAAGGTATTTTCGTATTCTCATGTGATCTATCTATTTGATCTCTATGTGAGTCTGTGATGTGTGATTGAGACAGATTCGGAGAGTCCCAGGTTAGTACTGTGCATAATTGTTGTTTCACTGCGCCGCCGTCATTTTAGGATGTTGTTGTTGTTGGTGGTGGCAATCATTTGTGAATTAAACGAGTGTCACTTTCCGCTTTTGGGCATTGTCTGTTTTCGAGTGTTGTGTAAGAGAGAATCTATAACCTGAGTGGTTTTATTATATGTCCGTGTCCCTCGCTTTTGCCTTATCGTTATCTGGTTTCCGTGTCTTTAATTCTCTATTTTTAATTTCCTTTGGGATAATTTAAGACTAAATGGTCGGTGGTGTTTCGCTTTAGCTGGTCCATAAACCTATAATTCTCTCAATTACCGTGGAAACTTATCTGGCTTATTGATTTATTTAGTCACAGTCTTTGTTTGCCCCTTGTTTCTTCTTTTATGTGGAAACGTGTGTCAATTGGTATCAGTTACGAAGTTATCTTTATTTAACCATTATTGTCTGTCTTGAATTTTGTTGTACTTACTATATCCAACTGTTTTTCCATTTAATGAACCTAGAACATAACTGTGGCACAGGAGCCTGCCTATGGCGAACTCAAGAAGAAGCTTGACCTCTTTGTAAGTCTGGTCGACTAATAAACAGTCTTGTCCATTATTTAATTTATTAAATTCCTGATTCTGATTTTTCTTATGTTTGGTTTTCATCTTTAATGATTCAGAAAGAGAAAGCAGTTGAGATCTTCAATATGCTTACAGCTGGTGGTGATCAATCGGTGGCACAAGCCCGAAAGGAGCTTGAAGTGCTGATACAAATGGAAGAAGTGCAACCAGCACCGCAGCCACAGGGAGAGGAAAGGGGAGAAGGAGAGCTAGGACAGGCTCTGGCTCTGGCTCTGGCTCAGACAGAAGAAATGGCAATGCCAGAAGCTTGTGTTGAAGAATAATGATCTAAAAAAAACTGCCTAGATATAGCCTTGGTGTTAGGCTTTAGGAGGAGGGTTTTCTTTTTTATAGTATTTTGAATCGTATCTTGTACCTCAATCTTTTATGGAATTTTAGTTTTTCATTTATTTTTGGTCTGCATAAGCAGAAACAAAAGACTCGTTAATGGTGTTGTCACTTCAATGTCTGTCTCTCTAGTTTTGTTCGTTAATTATCCTCATGTCCCGTGCACAATTAACCGTTAACTCAAAAGTTATTTGACTCGGAAACTTGTTACAGGTTATAGCTATAATCGATTTGTTGGCTTTGACATTGGAAGGAGAAGTAAGCTTCACTTTTGATGCTGGTGAATATTTCGAACAACGGTGATCATTTGACAGTCACCAAGAAAATAATATCGTTGGTGTCAATCTTAATAGAATCTTTTGGCATCAACAGTCATCACTCTCATCAGCCATCCGTTACTTGCTTAAATGGTTAGATCTTGAAACTAAAACTTAAATCATATGAAAATATATAAGAAAAGAAAAGCAATCAACTAGAGTTTTGACTTTGTAATTTTTTTTTTTCCATTTTTCCTCCAAATGAAAAGCATATTAGTAAAATAACGATGCATTTGATTTAATATCATAATTAGCTCACCGGTTATAAAACAATTTCAACCATATGAAACATAACGTTTCATTTTAACAAAAGTACAATGTTTAACAAAAACAAAATAATGCTGTCTTTCATAATTAAATACAAAATTGAAAAATAAAAACTCAATGTTAAATACATAAAATGGGTAAAAATAAACATTGAAAATAAAACAAAAAAGTGAACAATTATACAGATAAAAACAGAAATACATGCATATGAGAAATGTTGATTTTCATTTTTCCACAAATTTTACTTTTTATAAAGTACTATTTATCAATTAATATTTTAATTACACCATTTGAATAGATTACAATTGTCAGTGAATCTGTTCTTAGAATTGAATTTGTTGAATGAATTACATTTTTCATAATGGTCTAATCAAAATTGATGTGTTATATTTATTAATCAGTCCTAAATAAAAATACATATTATACAGTAATATATCGTATTTCAAATAAAATTAGATATAGTTTTATATTGTTTTAAACCTTAAATACTTATATTGTAAGTATTTCAAACTACTTAAAAATGAAAACTCAAGACCCTAAATGCCTAATATGTAAACGATAAATTATAAAACTAAATTGATTATTAAAAAATACTAAACTCAAGTTTAAAATTATTTTCAAACATACAAGTATATTAAGGAAATTTAAACGTTAAATTGGAATGAAATGATCAATTCAAACACAATAGCATAAATACCTAATGAGATGATTATATTCTAAACGCTATATCACTAAACCCTAAAATAGAAAAAAAAATAGTTAGAAATAGAGAAGCAATCAACTAGAGTTTGGACTTTGTGATTTTATTCATTTTTCCTCCAAAATGAAGAGCACATTAGTAATATAATGGCGCATTTGACTTAATTTCATAATTAGCTCACCGATTACAAAATATTCCAACCATATGAAACATAACGATTTATTTTAACAAAAGTACAATGTTTAATAGAGACAAAATAATGTTGTCCTTAATAATTAAATACAAAATTGAAAAATAAAAACTCAATATTAAATAAGCGAAACGGGGAAAGGTGAAAATTGACAATAAAACAAAAAGTGAACAATTAAACATATAAAAAAAGAAATACATGCGTATGAGAATATTGATTTTCATTTTACCACAAATTTTTATTTATTTATAAAGTACCGTTTATCAGTTAATAGTTTAATTGCACCATTTGAATAGATTACATTTGTGAGTTAATCTGTTATTAGAATTGAATTTGTTGAATGGATTACATTTGTCATAATGGTCTAATCAAATTTGATATGTTATATTTATTAACCAGAACTAAGTAAAAATACGTGTTATACAGTAATATATCGTATTTCAAAATAAAATTAGATGTAGTTTTATATTGTTTTAAACATTAAATACTTATATTGTAAGTATTTTGAACTACTTAAAATGAAAAACCAAAACCCTAAATACCTAATATGTAAACGATAAATTATAAAACTAAATTGATTATTAAAAAAAATACTAAACTCAAGTTAAAAATCATTTCCGAACATACAAGTATATTAAGGAAATTTAAACGTAAAATTGGAATGAAATGATCAATTTAAACACAATAGCATAAATATCTAAACACTATATCACTAAACCCTAAAATAAAATAAAAAAAATAAAAAATAGAGAAGCAATCAACTAGAGTCTGGACTCTGTTATTTTATTTATTTTTTCACCAAAATGAAGAGCACATTAGTAAAATAAAGGTGCATTTGACTTAATTACATAATTAGCTCATCGGTTATAAAAAAATTTGAACCATATGAAACATAACGTTTCATTTTAACAAAAGTACAATGTTTAACAGAGACAAAATAATGTTGTCCTTAATAATTAAATATAAAATTGAAAAATAAAAATTCAACATTAAATACGCGAATCGGGAAAGGTGAACATTGACAATAAAACAAAAAATTGAATAATTATACAGATAAAAACAGAAATACATGCATACGAGAATGCTGATTTTTATTTTTCTACAAATTTTTATTCATTTAAAAAGTACCGTTTATCGATTAATATTTTAATTGCACCATTTGAATAGATTATATTTGTCAGTGAATCTGTTCTTAGAATTGAATTTTTTGAATTGATTACATTTGTCATAATGGTCTAATCAAATTTGATTTGTTGTATTTATTAATGAGAACTAAGTAAAAATATGTATTATACAGTAATATATCGTATTTCAAAATAAAATTAGATGTAGTTTTATAATGTTTTAAAACCTAAATACTTATATTGTAAGTATTTTTAAACTACTTAAAAATGAAAAATCAAAACCCTAAATGCCTAATATGTAAACGATCAATTATAAAACTAAATTGTTTATTAAAAAATACTAAACTCAAGTTAAAAATGATTTCCAAACATACAAGTATATTAAGAAAATTTAAACGTTCAATTGGAATGAAATGAATTCAAACACAATAGCATAAATACTTAGTGAGATGATTATATTCTAAACGCTATATCACTAAACCCTAAAATAGAGAAAATAATTAGAAATGGAAAAGCAATCAACTAGAGTTTGGACTTTGTGATTTTATTCATTTTTCCTCCAAAATGAAGAGCACATTAGTAAAATAATGGCACAAGTGACTTAATTTCAAAATTAGCTCACCAGTTATAAAAAAATCCCAACCATATGAAACATAACGTTTTATTTTAACAAAAATACAATGTTTAACAGAGACAAAATAATGTTGTCATTAATAATTAAATACAAAATTAAAAAATAAAAACTCAACATTAAATATGCGAAACGAAAAAAGGTTAACATTGACAATAACATAAAAAAATTAAACAATTATACAGAAAAAAAACAGAAATACATGCAAATGAGAATGTTGATTTTCATTTTTCCACAAAATTTTAGTTATTTAAAAAGTACAGTTTATCAATTAATATTTTAATTGCACCATTTAAATATATTACATTTATCAGTGAATCTGTTCTTAGAATTGAATTTTTTGAATGGATTACATTTGTCATAATGGTTTAATCAAAATTAATGTATTGTATTTATTAATGGAAATTAAGTAAAAATACGTATTATACAGTAAAATATCGTATTTCAAAATAAAATTAGATGTAGTTTTATAATGTTTTAAACCCAAAATATTTATATTGTAAGTATTTGTAAACTACTTAAAAATGAAAAATCAAAACCCTAAATGCCTAATATGTAAACGATAAATTATAAAACTAAATTGATTATTAAAAAATTCTAAACTCAAGTTAAAAATTATTTCCAAACATACAAGTATATTAAGGAAATTTAAACATTAAATTGGAATGAAATGAATTCAAACACAATAGCATAAATACATAGTGAGATGATTATATTCTAAGCACTATATCACTAAACCCTAAAATAGAAAAATTATTAGAAATAGTAAAGCAATCAACTAGAGTTTGGACTCTGTTATTTTATTAATTTTTCCTCCAAAATGAAGAGCACATTAGTAAAATAATGGCATATTTGACTTAATTTCATAATTAGCTCACCGGTTATAAAAAAATTCCAACCATATGAAACATAACGTTTCATTTTAACAAAAGTACAATATTTAACAGTGACAAAATAATGTTGTCCTTAATAATTATATAAAAATTGAAAAATAAAAATTCAACATTAAATACGCGAAACAGGGAAAGGTGAACATTGACAATAAAAAAAAATTGAACAGTTATTCCTATAAAAACAGAAATACATGCATATGATAATGTTGATTTTCATTTTTCCACAAATTTTTATTTATTTATTTATAAAATACCGTTTATCAATTAATATTTTAATTGCACCATTTGAATAGGTTACATTTGTCAGTGAATCTGTTCTTAGAATTGAATTTTATGAATGGATTACATTTGTCATAATGGTCTAATCAAAACTGATGTGTTGTATTTAAATGAGAACTAAGTAAAAATACATATTATACAGTAATATATCGTATTTCAAAATAAAATTAGATGTAGTTTTATAATGTTTTAAATCCTAAATACTTATATTGTAAGTATTTTTAAACTACTTAAAAATGAAAAATCAAAACCCTAAATGCCTAATATGTAATCTATAAATTATAAAACACTAAACTCAAGTTAAAAATTATTTTTAAACATACAAGTATATTAAAAAAATTTAAACGTTAAATTGGAATGAAATGAATTCAAACACAATAGCATAAATACATAGTGAGATGATTATATTCTAAACGCTATATCACTAAATCCTAAAATAGAGAAAATAATTAGAAATAGAGAAGCAATCAACTAGAGTTTGGACTTTGTGATTTTATTCATTTTTTCTCTAAAATGAAGAGCAAATTAGTAAAATAATGGCGTATTTGACTTAATTTCATAATTAGCTCACCGGTTATAAAAACATTCCTACCATATGAAACATAACGTTTCATTTTAACAAAAGTACAATGTTTAAGAGAGACAAAATAATGTTTTCCTTCATAATTAAATACAAAAATTGAAAAATAAAAACTCAATATTAAATACGCAAAACAGAGAAAAGTTGAACATTGACAAGAAAACAAAAAGTGAACAATTATACAGATAAAAACAGAAATACATGCAAATGAGAATGCTGATTTTGTTTTTCCACAAATTTTT